GTGACTGAGCCATCTCTTTAGCTCCCTTAGTGACATTTTGGATCCCCAGGACCTCCTTCATGGAGCACTTCCTGAATGTTCTGAGGTGCCAGGCCCAGGTCTCTCCCCAGTGCGAAGAACACACACTTTCTCCCGTAAGGTTTTCCAGTTCCATCCAATCACAGTGTTGGTTCAAAGTAGGTGGCTTACACAGCACTGTATCAGAAGTTCATAATCTCATCAAAAACCATCCATTTTGGGTATGGATGCGGTTTTCTGTCCGTGTGGTTATGTCCTGGAGAGGGGGTAATTTCTTGCCTGAAGGTTCCTTTCTTTCTTTCGTTTGTTTTTTCCTCTCATGAAATCCAGTCGGACTTCAGACTCCCTGTGCAGCTGAGGATGACCTTGAGCATTAAAAAAACATAATTTATTTTTATTTTGTGAGTATCTACATAAGTTATAAAGGATTAAATGATCTTAAATGGTTGCGGTGAAAATAGGAACAGAGGGTGGCGGGAGTTATGTGAATACAGAGCTGAAATCCTGGCTCTCTGAAAGGCAAACGATTGACAAGCAATGAATGACCTTTGTCCTCATGGAAATACAATAAATCAAAGTCGCTTTTGCTGTTCCTTTTGCTCTATCCACACATATAAAACTCTCTACCTATTTAGAGAACCTGGTCTCTAAGTTAATGAAGCTGGGTACATCTTCTGAGCCCCTGTGCTGTAAAGCATCTGCCTGTCCATACTGGAAGGAGCCTGAAATTCTTACATTTTGGTTGTGAGCCTCGCCTTAAATGGCTGAGCTGCCTCTCCAGCCCAGAGACTGAAAATCTAAATCCAGCAGGCACCCTCGGCAGGTGAGACGCCAACAGCAGGTACCAGGAGGCCCAAACTAGGACTGGGAAGGTGACAGTGAAGACTTGAGATGGTGCTGGGCTCTCTAGATCCTGGAAACATGGGACAAAAGGAACCTGAAGAAGCTCCCAGACAGTGCCCCTCAGTCGAAGGTTGACTGCGTCACGAGAGAGCCCCACGGGGAGGAAAAGCGTGGATGCTACAGACCTGGGTGCTGTGATGGCTCTCCTTGGTTGTCAGCTTGACTACATCTGGAATTAACTAAAACCCAAGTGACTGGATACATCTGTGAAGGGTTTCTCTTAGTTAAAGCATCCAAAGTGGGAAGACCCACTTTTAATCTGGACCTTTTGAGGTGGGAAGATCCACCTTTAATCTGGGCCATGCCTTCTAGTGGGAGCCTATATAAAGGGCATTTGGCTTTCCCATTAAACCTCTCCGGGAAACTCCTTCGATGACAAACATGGAAGTGTGTCTCCCAGGTGGTTCCAAATCCGGCCAAGTAAACACTGAAGATCAACCATCACACCCTGTGTTTCTCCGAGCCAATAGCAACATTTGAAATGGAGGTCAGGAACTTCTCCAGAGCCTCTTTGGATATATCTGCAAACCTGTTGTGGTGCAGCATGATTGAAAGATGGGTGGGGCCGGAGAGGCCGGCTTTCAAGTAGGGTTGACCAAGTGCTCATGACTTCACAATGGCATAGTACTCAGTGACCCACAGCTACGTCTGTAAGTATAGCAACAGAACTCAGAGCTCTCCTGCTGAATCCTCAGCTTAGAAAAGCCAGGGGAACATGGAAGCCAAGAAAGTGAAGTGAGGGTTCCAAGCCTCATTCTCTTCCTGCCTGTCGCTCCTGCATGAAGACAGAGTTAAACAGAGCGTTGATCCAACTGATTTCAACCCACCTGAACATGCCATCCCCTCCCTCCCACCCCCCACACACAGCAAGCTAAAATCCAGAGGAGTGGCCTATCTTCTTCCTACACCTTTGGCCTGAGGTCATGGAAAAGTAAATACATTAAAAACAACAATAACAACAAAACCACACACACAAAATAACAAAACCCCACCTTCAATATACAGACCTTTGTATCTTTTGAACATATGAAAATATGAACTTACAAAAACATGAACTTATTTGTCCGTATTTTATGCTGTTCTTAATATTTTATAACCTTGGAAAAGTTTTTATTAAAATTGAATCTATTTACAGTATACCTACTCTAATATGTGTATATATAAACTGTTACAGTAAGCTATTACTATATCTGACTTTGTATCACATTTATATTTATTGTTTATTTATTTTACTTATGTGTGCATATGGGCATGCATATAGAGGTCAAAGAATAATCTGAGGTACTCAGTTTTCTTCTTCTACCCTGTGGGTCCTGGGTATCAAACTAGGTTGTCGTGGTTTATCATTAAGTGCCTTCCCCATTATCTCTGTCTCGTCAGTCACATTTGTGTGTGTGTGTGTGTGTGTGTGTGTGTGTGTATGTATGTATTTGGTGCCAACACTTTGACCTTTGTCTGCATATTTTGAGTGTGAAAACATTAACTATAGGCCCAGTGCTGCCCTTTGACTTTCTAGAACTCACATCTTCTGTGAAACTGAAGCTTCGTACCCTCTGGTGAAAATCTCCCCCTTTCCACCCACACCTCGCCATGGTGACCAACATTCTACTTCCCCAAAAGTCGACAGCCTTAGATTGAGAATGCAGAGGACAGGGGAGCCCTGGGTGTGCAAGCAGTTACAGTTAGCTCATGGGCTCTGATGGGATGATGGAACGCTTCCTCAATGGATTTGTGAAATTGCGGCCTTATTGGGAAGAGGCAAAGGTAGAAGGTAGAGCCTAGTTGGAGAAAGTCGGTCACAGGGGCAGTTCCTCTTGGGCATTGGACCCCTGGAGCTTGTACTGCGGTGATTAAGAGCCATCATGTGGGTTCTGGGAATAAAATCTAGGTTCTCTACAAAGCAGCCAGTGCTCTTAACTGCTGGGCCATCTCTCCAGCCTCTGGTGTTTTAATTTGTTTTAAATTATGGTGGTGGTGGGCACGCACATATGAGTTCAGGGGCCTGCAGAGAGCAGAGGCATCGGATACCCCTGGAGTAGGAGTTATAGGCAGTAGTGGAACATGTGACATGGGGGCTGGGAACGGAACCTGGGTCCTCTGCAAGAGCATTGCGTATTCTTAGCCACTGAGCAATCTCTCCAGCTCTGCCTCTGGGTTTCTTATGACTGCTTGCCTCTTTCACATTCTTTTTCTTTTCTCTTTTTCTTTTTCTTTCATTTTTTCTTTTCTTTTCTTTATTTTTATTTTATTTTATTTTTTTGGCCAGATAAAGAATTTTATTAACCCCTTCCAAAATTTTATTCCCAGGCTTCTTCAGCTTAATTTGCTGCAAAGAATTAATTGTGTATATGCAAAAACTGAAAAGAACCGCATGTCCAGGGAAGCTTGGGCTTAAAAATATTAGAGACCCAGACTTTATCAGATCCATAAACAAGAGAATTTGAAAAGCAGTCATGATATAGAATAGCAGTTTTACAAGTATCACCATCTTCAGAAGTCACCTCAGTTCAGTTGGCATTGACCTTACGATTCTCATCAAAATTCTGCACCGGATGTGCAGCTTCATCATCAGGATCCTCTCCGGCAGTGCGTGGAACTTTTCCATCCACAGATAGGGCAGAGCTTCACTACCTCCTTCCTCTAGGGAGACTGTTTGCTCCAAGCTGGTGGAGGATGCTAGGAAGTCTGCCTGTCACTGCTTTGTCTCAGTGGCCTGTAATGGTGCAGATGTGTGCTGTGTATGCTGTGTGCGCTGTGTGCTGGTGTGTGCAGTGTGAAGGTGTGCACTGTGTGAAGGTATGTGCAGTTGTGTGCAGTGTGAAGGTGTGCACTGTGTGCAGGTATGTGCAGGTGTGTGCTGTGTGCAGGTGTGTGCTGTCTGTGCTGTATGAAGGTGTGCGCTGTGTGTAGGTGTGTGCTGTGTGCAGTTGTGTGC